AAGTAATCATCATTATTTGCTTTCTCATTCTCTTTGTGAACCCGTGTTCAGACTTTCATTTTAAGTCCTCTTGTCTGATATTTGGTCTCTTGGTGGATAGTTAATTATATATTGTGTTTTAGTGGGTAGATGATGCCAGGTCTAAATTTTTTTTGAGTTTTATATGAATATAGAATAGAACAATTTTTTTTTTAGTTTTATATGAATATAGAATAGAACAATTGTTTTTTTTTTTTTGGTCAGTCGTGGGACTTGAACTCTGGGCTTAGGTGCTGTCCCTGCACTCTTCAGCTCAAAGCACGCACTCTACCACTTGAGCCACAGCGCCACACCCGGTTTTCCTAGTGGTTTATTGGAGATAAGAGTCTCACGGACTTTCCTGCCCCTTCCTGCCCCAGCTGCCCTTGAACCGAGATCCTCAGATCTCAGCCTCCTGAGTAGGTAGGATTACAGGCATGAGCCACCAGCGCCCGGCCAGAACAAATATTTTTATAAACTGACGAATGGCTGTACAAACCCATTGTACGGAATTCTTTTTATCCTGTTCTTGATCATAGACAGTATTCTTTTTTGTAAATCCAAAATGTGTTTATGGGGATGGTTTCCCATTCATCTTGATTCAGAGTGCTTTTAGTATTGCTTCTTTCTGAAGAACAATCTTTCTATAGCCTTTGTTTTTCCTCCTGTACTCTGGGGAACCCGGGAATGAACAATACACAAAACTAACTGTGTGTACATGGGTAAAGACCATAGTCATTTTATGGCACCCTGGACATTTCACACCCAGAAAGTAGTAATTGAGGTTCCTCTTGGGTTTCCTTCTTCCCTCTCTGGAAAGGGATGAAAGACAGCAAATAGACTTTTAAAGAAAACAACAACAGTAAAAGGGCTTGAACTCAGGACTTTGGAGCACTATCCCTGAACTTTTTTTTTTGATCAAGACTCTAGTGCTCTACCACTTGAGCCTGTAGCTCCACTTCTGGTTTTTAGGTTGTTAATTGGAAATGAAAGCCTCCAACCTTTTCTGCCCAGGCTGGCTTCGAACTGTGATCCTCAGATCTCAGCCTCCTGAGAAGCTTGGATGACAGACATGAGTCTCCAGCCCCTGGTACCAGGCAGTATTCTTGTGAAGAGATTATCACTGCTAGAAAGCCAAAGATTCTTTTTCTCTACTGACAAGTAAAAGATATGACTTCCATGAATTAATTGTTTTTTTTTCCAACTCAAACATAGCTACACATTTGATGGTACTGCTTTTGTACTGAAAATATAATTATCGTAAAGAGGTGAATTTTGTGACAAAATATCTTAGCCAGGCACCAGTGGCTCATGCCTGTAATCCTAGTTGCTCAGGAAGCTGAGATCTGAGGATTGTGGTTCAAAGCTAGCCCTGGCAGGAATGTCCATGAGACTCTTTATCTCCAATGAACCATCAGAAAACTGGAAGTGGTGCTGTGGCTCAACTGGTAGAGCACTCACCTTGAGCTGAAGAGCTGAGGTACAGCATCCAGGCACTGAGTTCAAGCCACACAACTGACCCCCTCCCCCAAAAAAAAGTTTTGAGGGGATGGGGGAGTTTGTGGATGATGGGGGAGAAAAACAGTGGAAGGGATCACATTGATCAAGATGCATTGTACTCCTAAACTGATATGTTGAATGGACATGAGCCACTGGTGCCCAGCGAAAGACTTACCTTTTTATTGGTGGTAAGGACTAACATTTAGAGTAGTTGCCATTCAGAAACAATGTGGATCATTTTATTTTGCCTGGAGTTGCTTGTTCTCTTAGAGGTCTTCAAAATTAATCTTAACATACTTTTACTAGCCCAACTGGGAGGGTTCGGGAGATTCCTTAGCTGTACTTTCCTCTGCCCTGGTGAATGTATATGCTTGGAGATTAGATGCCTGATGATGCAAAAATGTGCCTCACATTTTTGATCATCCAGAGCTGTCCTTTTGGCTAGGTTTGTCCTTCCTTCCTTCCTTGCTTGTTTGCTTACCTTGCCAGTACTAGAGTACTGCTGTCTTTTTGTAGATAAGATTCTCAGGGACTTTTCTGTCCAGGCTGCCGTTAAACTGCAATCCTCAGATCTTAAGCCTCCTGAGTAGGTAGGATTACAGGCATGAGCCACCAGCACCCTGCAGCATGAGTCTTAAGTAGTATAAACTCTTCATTAGAAGGAATTTTTAATCCCACATGAAACTCAAGAGTTGATTCATTGTCATTCTATGCATATCTTAAGGGAGACCAGAATTAATATATGTGAGTAATTTAGTTTTTGTTGGGAGAGGCACCTTAACAAAAAACACTCTTTTTTTTTTGGTCGGTCCTGGGACTTGAACTCTGGGCTTGGGTGCTGTCCCTCAGCTCTTTAGCTCAAGGTGAGTGCTCTATTGCTTGAGCCACAGCGCCACTTCTGTTTTTCTAGTGGTTTATTGGAGATAAGAGTCTCACAGACTTTCCTGCCTGGGCTGGCTTTGAACCGTGATCCTCAGATCTCAGCCTCCTGAGTAGCTAGGATTACAGACGTGAGCCACCAGCACCCAGCAAAACTGCTTTTCTTAAGTCACAAAAACATGAGAAAGTACTGCCATGTAGGTTATGCTGTGTACATGGGGTGGTGTTGTCCAAAGTTGAAAAGCGCTTCTAGACCTTAAGCTCCTGGTTTAGAAAGATGAACAAAGTTCACAAGTCGCAACAAGTCTATCTGCCAGAGGTTCTTTGGACCTGATACCAGCTGCAGATTAACAGAAGAGATACATAATCGTGGTCACCGTGTTAGTCATAACCAGGTAACAAACACCTGAGACCATTAACTTAGAAGGAAGGTTTATTTTGATTCAGTGCTTTGGGCTTTTTGATCCTTGATCCATCAGTCTTGGAGTTTGGGGGTCTGTCGTAAGGCAGACACCCCAGATATTTAGGAGACTGAGATAATATACCAAAGAAGGTATGCTTTTTATGAAAGAGAAGAGTTGAGATGAGTTTGAGCACAAAGTGAAAGATTAAAAAGATTATTCTATGTACCATTAATGAAGGAAAACATTCTGGTTTTTAGTTTTGAGACTAGGGTATCACTTTGTATTCCAAGCTGTCCTGGAACTCAGGATCCTCTTGCTTTAGCCTCCTAGTGTAGGATTATAGACATACATCACCACAACCAGCTAGGAAAAACATTTGGTCAATTAAAGTACATCGTCGTTGATAGTATGATAGTTGATAGTATGATGTGTGGCTGTGTGGGAGGGTGTCCTTAAAATTGATGACGTAAGTTCTAACATATCTATGATAATTTAGTGGTTTGGTGGTAGAAAGAAATGCCGGATCCTGCTTGAGATTTCTCTTCTATCTATTTGCTGATGTTGAGTTCTTCACAGTTAGAATGCTGTATGATTATCTTTGTTAGAACATAACTGAGTTCTTTTGTGGTGTTGATGGCTTATGCAGGAAATTCTGTGACACTCTTACCTCCAATGAACCACCAGAAAACTGGAAGTGGCACTGTGGCTCAAGTTGGTAGAGCGCTCGCCTTGAGCTGAAGAGCTCAGGGATGGCACTCAGACCCAGAGTTCAAGCTCCACAGCGGATTAAAAAAAAAAAAAAGAAGAAAAAAAGGAAAAGAAAATTCCTAGTTACCCCAGTATAAGGTATAAGTCAGAAGAAAAAAAAAAAGCTAAAATTTAGGTGGAGTAAGGGGCAGTGGCCAGATTTCTCATTAAGAGTTGTATTTTTATTTCTTTGTGTGTATAGTGGGGCAGGGAGGAGGGGGTGTTAAACTGTTCAGTAGTCCCTTTGCTGAAAGTGTGAACAGAGATAAATTCAATTATATTTTGTATGTGTATGTGTGTTTTGATATTAGCACTTAAACTCTGGGCTAAGGCACTATCCCTTAGCTTTTTCACTCAAGGCTGATATTCTACCACTTGATCCACAGCTCAACTTCGGACTTTTTGGTGGTTAGTTGGGCATAAGAGTCTCATAGACTTTCCTGACCCCGCCACCTTTGAACTGGGATCCTCAGATCTCAGCCTCCTGAGTAGCTAGGATTCCAGAGCTGGGCAAGAATTTTCTATTTCCTTGTATATATTGTTTTTTAATCTGATTACCTGAGCTCTCCTGTTGTTTAGGATCCTCCCACAAATGTGTTATTCAGAAAACAAATCTCTGCTGGGCACTCTTGACTCACATCTGTAACCCTAGCTACCCTGGAGGCTGAGAGCTGAGAATCATGGTTTGCTTTTTAATAATAATTTTTATTGAGATTAAATGATTACATAAATTTCACAAGTTTCACAGAATTGTAGGATAGTGATACTTATTTAAAGTTACACAGTTTAACCTTCACAAGGCAAATTGTCATTATCTTAGTCTATAAGAGAATCCTGTTTTGAAGCCAGCCCAGGCAGGAAAAGTCCATGAGACTCTTATCTCCAGTTTAATTACCAAAAAAGGTGGAGTGGAGCTTTGGCTAAAGTGATAACCTTGAGCAAAAGAAGCTTAGGGAGAGTGTCCAGGCTCTGAGTGCAAGGCCCCTCCCTCCAAAAAATAAAGACCCTACCTCTCTGGGTCACCAGTGCATTTCCATGGGTAACTTCCTATTTCTCTTTGCAATATACTTTGAATCTATCCTCCCACTGAATTGAGCCACTTACTTTCCTCCTTGCTGCTACACTGTACATATTTCTTTGTGTTTTTGTGTTGGAATTAACTTTTGTTAACAATTATATTTTGTAGTTTACAGGAAACTAAGCTCCTCAGGACAGCGATTCTGCTTTATTTACCTTCCAACTGTAGCACTTAGCATGGGGCAGTACGTTATCTTCAGTAAGAATTTGTGTAAACTAAATGCACAGGCTATGAAAGAACTGATAGTTCATGTAGAATATACTTGTAGGAACCAAATACCTTGCTTTAACATAAACAACTTGGATTTCAATCTCTTCTTAGTATTTATTTCTTTTTTTTTCCTTTTGCATGTTTTCTTGGATGAATGGAAATAGAGAAGAAGAAAATGAGGTAAGTAACAATTCATTCAGTTCACCTTTAAGTACAGCTTAGAGATTGAATAAAAGCTAAAAATTGTTTTAAGCTGTCATTTTAAAAAATTTTTTATTACTATTTTTTGGTTGGTCCTGGGGCCTGAACTCTGGGCCTGGGCACTGTCTCAGCTCTTCAGCTCAAGGTTAGCGCTCTACCACCTGAGGCCCACATTACCACTTCCGGCTTTTTCTGCTTATGTGGTGCTGAGGAATCAAACCCAAGGCCTCATGCTTGCAAGGCAAGCACTCTACCACGGAGCCACCTTCCTAGCCTCAGAAAAAATGTCTTTTAGGCTTTAGAGCTTCAAGAACTTTAAGAAACCTAGAGGGCTGGGAAGATGGCTCCGTGTAGAGTGCTTGCCTTGCATGCATGAGGCCCTGGTTTCGATTCCTTAGCACCACATAAACAGAAAAAGCTGGAAGTGGCGCTGTGGCTCAAGTGGTAGAGCACTAGCCTTGAGTTGAAGAGCTGAGGAACAGTGCCCAGGCCCAGAGTTCTGGCCCCATGTCTGACCAAAAAAAAAAAAAAAATATATATATATATATATATATATATATATATAAACAGAGAATGTTGGGGGGAAAAAAAGAAACCAAGAAGCAGCTCTGGAGACAACTTTTTTTTTTGGTCAGTCACGGGGCCTGAACTCTGTGCCTGGGTACTGTGTCCCTCAGCTCTTTACCTCAAGGCTAGCACTCTACCACTTGAACTACAGCACCACTTCCGGCTTTTTCTGTTTATGTGGTGCTAAGGAATCGAACCCAGGGCCTCATGCATGCAAGGCAAGCACTCTACCACTGAGCCACCTTCCCAGCCCCTAGAGACAACTTTCACCTGATTCTATGTAAGATTTAATTTCAAAGTGGATTCTGTTTCTGTTTCTTAAAAATAATTAATCATTGCTCTATAACATGTAAACACTTTCACTTTTCCACTTGAATAATATTGCATACTTTTGAGAACTGATCTGCTATTTTATCATGTTCAGGGTGAAAATTACTCCCTTACACAGCCAATGTTGAATAAAGTACATCACTTACAGAACTTTTGTAGATAGTAAATAACGTTCTTTAATTTAGGCTTGAGTTGCCACACAGGCATCTGATTTTGTGATGCCAGGGAACTACTTGCTTTGTTGATTTCTAATACTTCTCAGACCACACAGTTTTGAAGACAGTGATCCTCCTCACCTATCACGGGAGTTAGGTTCCAGAGACCCCCCACAGTAGGTGAAAATCCATGAAGTAGCAGCCTTATGTAATCGTCCCTTACTATATCAAGGTTCATTTACTGCTACTTTGAGGATTTTCATCTAATCACAGGGATCTCTGGAACATAACTCCCACAATAGGTGAAGGATCACTATTTACCCTTGGTTTTTGAACCCACAATAAGTGAACTGTGATATAACAAGGGATGACTTTACTAAGATAATAATTACTATCCCTAATATATACATAAGGCATAAACTATACATTGTGTATAAAAATTGTTTTTGTAAAATACTATCTTACCAAGTAGCTTATTTGCATGTATGAAAATAGAACAGTGATCTAGGTAACCATGACTCATGCCTGTAATCCTTGCTATTTAGGAGGCTGAGATCTGGTAGATTCAGGTTAAATATCATCCTGGGTGGATGTCTCCATGACTCCATTTCCAAAATAGTCAGCAAAGAGAGTAGCACTGAAGAGGTGGCTCGTGTGGTAGAGCATTCACTGTGCAAACAAGCACAGGAGGTCTTGAGTTCAAACCCCAATACCACACCAAAAAAATGAATTAAACAAGAGAAGAGCAGTGAAATTATTTTAAGAAAGGGACAGGGCAGGAAGTTTAATCAGAATACATTGTATGCATGTATAGGAATATCACAATGATCTCCCCTTGTTCAATTAATGTATGCTTCTAAGAAAAACACTATCTAGAAAATAGTTGTGAAATTGGAAGACAATCTTTATGTGACAGAAAACAACAATAGAAAACTATAGGTAATTGTTGGAGGTGGGAGTAGATATCTAGGAGCATATTATACTATTATCTATACTAGTGAATGTGTTAAATTTCCATAAGAGCTTATAAAATCTGTAACATAGTGAGATTTACACTATTGTTCAAAACAACTTCTCTGACAATTTGAGCTGTAATGCAGGCATTTGATAATCACTACTGTTTATCAGCAATTGTTTTCTTCATTTTTAGGCAAAGATTGAAAATGTGCAGAAAACAGGTTTTATCAAAGGACCAATGTTTAAAGGTGTTGCTTCAAGTCGATTTTTGCCCAAAGGCACGAAGACAAAAGTTAATTTGGAGGAACAGGGGCGGCAGAAGGTGTCATTCAGCTTCAGCCTTACAAAGAAAACATTGCAGAACAGATTTCTCACCGCACTTGGCAATGAAAAGCAAAATGATACTCCAAACTCTGCAGCTATACCTCTTCAAGTAGACTCATCCCCTAAAAACAAAATGGACAGCGGGGAAACCTTATCTATTACAGAGGAATCGTCTCCTCCCAAATCAAGAGTGGAATTGGGCAAAATTCATTTTAAGAAACATCTACTACATGTAACCTCTCGGCCCCAGCTGGCTACTACCACATCAATAACGCCTCCATCTCCTCCCACTGTACACATACCAGCAGTCATCGCAGAATCAATTATAGACTCGCCCCCTGCATCTCCACCTCCACCACCTCCGCCTCCCCAAGCTACAGTACCCTCACCACCAGCACCAATAGCAGAGCCAGTGGCCTTGCCACAAACACCAGTAAAAGTTCTGGCCGCACCTGTTTCCTCACCAGAGGATGTAGCAGTTAGAGCTCTGAAAGAACCACCAGTTACCACTGTGCCGGAATCTTCAGAGGGGGATAATAAGCATGACACTGTATCGAATAGTGCAGAAGAGCAGGTAACTGAACATTTGAAAGAGCAAGTTGATACTCTCTCGCAGAAAGAAGATTCCCATATTGGGAAGGAGGAAGAAATTCCGGATAGTTCGAAGATTAGTCCGAGCTCTAAGAAACCAGGTTCTAAAAAGAAGTCCTCACCCTTTGAAGGCACCTTTCTTGCTTCAGAATCTGACGAAGATTCTGTACGGACTTCATCAAGTCAGAGATCACATGACTTAAAAAGTTCAGCAAGCACTGAGAAGGAAAGAGATGTGAAAAAGAACTCAGCACCTTTAAAAAACAATGAGGATTCAGGGAAATCGCGCTCTAAAACAGAGAGAGATGATAAATATTTTAGCTACTCAAAACTTGACCGCGATCCTCGGTATGTGTCTTCCCGGTGCAGGCCGGAAAGAGAGCGAAGGCGGAGCAGATCACGTTCTAGATCAGACAGAGGCTCCAGAACGACTTTATCCTATTCTCGGTCAGAACGGTCTCATTATTACGAGTCTGACAGGCGCTACCATCGAGGGGGTTCCCCTTACCGAGAGAGGACCCGCTATTCTCGGCCGTACACAGACAACAGGGCGCGAGAGAGTTCCGACTCTGATGATGAGCATAAGAAGACATACTCGAGGCGTACCTCATCTCATTCCTCCTCTTACAGAGACCTAAGGACATCATCCTATTCCAAATCTGATCGGGAGTGCAAAAGTGAGAGCTCTTACTTGGAGATGGAGAGGAGGGGCAAGTATTCAAAACTAGACAGAGAAACAAAGAGGATATCAGAAAATGAAGCAGTAAAGAGATGCTGTTCTCCCCCTAGTGAACTGGGCTGCCGAAGGGGGTCATCCTATTCCAAGCACGATACCAGTGCTTCCCGTTACAAATCTGCCCTTTCAAAACCTAGATCCAAGTCTGATAAACTTAAAAATTCTCTCTGCTGTGCAGAATCCAATGAGGAAAGCAAACAGTCTCCTCCTTTTGGCTTACAGACTCCTTGCTTGAAAACTAGTGAAGTCAGAACAATGACTAAAATCCCTGAAAGAGAAAAGACTCGGTCCTTGTCTCCATCAAATCAATTAAATGATTCCCCTCCTTTAAAAAAGATAGATGGGTCACCTGTGTTCAAGTCTGAATTTATAGAACATGATTGCCACGATAGTATTAAAGAACTGGACTCTTTATCCAAAGGGAAGAAGGATGAATTGAGAAGTTTTTGTCCCCTTGAATTCAATGTAAATGGATCTCCTGGGGCAGAATCTGACATGGCAACATTTTGCACTTCTAAAACAGGTGCTGTTTTGATGACTTGTGATGATAGTGTGAGTGGATCAGAGGTGTCCCCTTTGGCTACGGTGTGCATGCTCTCATCAAATGGCTATCAGAGTATCAGCAAGTGCAAAGAGAAAGACTTGGATGATATATGCTTGCAGCATCCATCAAAAAGTCCACTGAGAGAAACAGAATCTCTAGTGTCCCCACACGATAAACTCACCTCTTTGCCAGTCATAACTATAGATTATTCCAGAACAGTAGTTAAGGAAGCCTTGGAGAAGAGAGTTTCTTGCTGTAAAACCAAAGATTCAGATAGATACTGTACTGCAGATGAGAGTACCCCTTCTTTCTGTTGTTCTGAAGTTGAAAACGTTGAGCCTTCAGTTAGGAAGATTTCATCCAATAGCTTTATGAATGTGCACTTAGAATCAAAAGCAGTCTTATGTGATAATAGAAGTCTGACAGATCAGCACTCAAAATTTGCATGTGAAGAGTATCAGCAGAGCGTCGGTAGTACTAGTTCAGCTTATGTTAACCATTTTGATGATTTATATGAACCTATAGAGAGTTCAGACATCGCTTCATCTCCAGGGATAAAAGCGGACAGTTTAGCTCTTTTGCAAGGTGATGAGGACACCTCTCCAGTTCCGGATGCAGTGCTGACAGATAAAAATAGTACAGAGTTTTTAAAGCATGCCGAAACAACCATCGAAGTGGATAGTGGCCTTCCTGATTCAAGAAAGGGATTTGCTTCCTGGGAAAACAGGCATAATAATGGATTATTAGGTCATGGTTTGCAGGAGGCTCAAGAAGAAGGGAATTCCATATTGCCTGATAGAAGAGGAAGACCAGCCATCTCTTTGGATGAGGAAGGAGAAAGGGGACATGCACATACTTCCGATGATTCAGAAGTTGTATTTTCTTCTTGTGATCTGAATTTAACCATGGAAGACACTGACGGTGCACCTTATACCTTAAAGTGTGACAGTAGTGGTCATGCTACTGAAATTGTGTCAACTGTCCATGAAGATTATTCTGGTTCTTCGGAAAGTTCAAGTGATGACAGTGAGTCAGAAGATACAGAGTCTGATGATAGCAGTATTCCAAGAAACCGCCTCCAGTCTGTTGTGGTTGTGCCAAAGAACTCTACGTTGCCCATGGATGAAACAAGTCCTTGTTCTTCTCGGAGCAGCCAGAGTTACAGACATTATTCCGATCACTGGGATGATGAGAGATTAGAGTCAAGGAGACATTCATATGAGGAAAAGTTTGAGAATATGACAAGTAAAGGCTGTCCTCAAACTGAGAAGTTCTTTCTTCATAAAGGAGCAGAGAAGAATCCTGAAATTTCTTTTACACAGTTCAGCAGAAAACAGGTAGACAAGCATCTGCCTGAAATTGCTCATCCTCAGAGTGATGGGGTTGATAGTACAAGTCATGCAGATGTGAAATCTGACTCTCTAAGTCACCTGCATTCGGAGGACATAGTAAAAGGCAAAACATCTAGGCAACAAGAAGAGCTTCCAGTTTATTCTTCGGATGATTTCGAAGAGATACCAAGTAAATCCCGGCAACAGATCCCTTTCCCTAACCGGCCAGATAGCAGACTGGGGAAAATGGAGCTAACTTTTTCTTCCTCTTGTGATATCTCCCGCATGGACAGCTTGCATTCCTCGGAGGAGCTCAGAAACCTGGGCTGGGACTTTACTCAACAAGAAAGGCCTACTACTACCACCTATCAGCAGCCTGACAGCAGCTATGGGACCTATGGGGCACACAAATATCAGCAAACTGCCGAACAGTATGGCGGGCCCCGTCATTACTGGCACAGCAATGGCTACTGGGACCCGAGATCGGCGGGCAGGCCTCCTGGATCTGCAGTCACTTACGATCGCATGCAGGGTCAGGTGCCAGATTCCTTAACCGATGACCGTGAAGAAGAGGAGAATTGGGATCAGCGGGGTGGATCCCATTTTGCAGGCCAGTCCACCAAATTTCTTCTATCCCTTCAAAAGGACAAGGGCTCTGTGCAGGCGCCAGAAATAAGCAGCAATTCCATCAAAGACTCTCTAGCTGTGAACGAAAGGAAAGAGTTTTCTAAAAACTTTGAAAAAAATGACCTCAAAGAGAGAGGGCCTCCCAAAAAACGGAGGCAGGAGTTGGAGAGCGAGTCTGAAAGCGATGGTGAGCTTCAAGATAGAAAGAAAGTCAGAGTGGAGATAGAGCAGGAGGAGACATCGGTGCCACCACACTCGGAGCTGATCGGGCCTTCCTGCGTCATGGGTGACTTCAGGGACCCACAGCGGTGGAAGGAGTGTGCCAAGCAGGGCAAGATGCCTTGTTACTTCGATCTGATTGAAGAAAATGTTTATTTAACGGAAAGGTGAGTCACAGCAAGGCTTGCATGACACATTTTTGATACTTGTTAGGTGTTTGATGTAACATAGTTACCTGTTTGGATGCAGTAGTGTGGATTTTCCACCCACCTCGCCCCACCCCTGAAAACAAAATAATATGCTTAATTTTTTTCTCTGCTGTGTCTTTGATTCAAAAGTATAATAGCTAAGTTTTTCTCGAATTCTTTTTTCATAAGAAAGTGACAGAAAAGGAAATAAAACCTTAGCAGTGTTTAGACTGGGCGCGCTGGTGGCTCATGCCTGTAATCCTAGCTACTCAGGAGGCTGCTCTCTGAGAATCCTACTTCAAAGCCATCTCAGGCAAAAAAGTGCATAAGACTTAAAAAAAATTTTTTTTTGCCCCTCCTGGGGCTTGAACTCTGGGCCAAGGCACTGTCTCTTGAGTTTCTTTTTTTTGGGGCGGGGGTAGGGGTCCGGTCATGGGTCCTGAACTCTGGGCCTGGGCACTCTACCACTTGAGCCACAGCGCCACTTCTGGCTTTCTTCTTTTTGCTTATGTGGTGCTGAGGAATCGAACCCAGGGCCTCATGCATGCAAGGCAAGCGCTCTACCACTGAGCCACCTTCCTAGCCCCTTTTGAGTTTCTTTTGTTCAAGATTAGGACTCTACCACTTGAGCCACAGCACCACTTCCAGCTTTTTCTGAGTAATTTCCTGGACATGAGTCTCATAGAGACTTTCCTGAGGGGGACTGGCTTTGAACTGAGATCCTAAGATCTTAGCCTTCTGCATAGCTAGGATTAAAGGTGTAAGCCACAGTCCAACGCTTCCATGAGACTCTTAGTTCCAGTTAACTATCAGATAAATAGAAATGGAGCTACGACTCAAAAGTGGTAGAGCACTAGCCTTGAGCAAAAGCGCTCAAGGATAGCGTGCCAGCCCTGAGTTCAGGCCCCATGAAGCGTTTCGTTTCCCTGCCTCCCAGTCCAAGATGTGCACAGTGAAGTATTGTTAGGTACTTCACAAAGCTGGAAACATGACAGCGGAATTTGCTGTCAGGTATTTAGATGTATTGTTAATTGATTAAATTTGCTAACAGCATAATACATTTTGGAAATGGTAACATGGTTTATTTATTTCTTTATTTTTTTTTAAATAAAGAAGCAACTTTATGAGAAGGTTCCTACACTGACCGGCCAGGGCCGCAGCACAGGCTCGGGAGCTGATACTGCGACCCCGAATGGCCCACGTACTTAGTTTTTTGTTTTTTTGTTTTTTAATTTTTTTTATTGTGATTGATTACATAATTTCCCAAATTTTACAGTATTGTGGGATAGTGATGCTCAGTTAAAGTCACAAACACATTCTAACTTTCCTGGAGCAAATTGTCTATCACAGTCTATAACATTTATGAGTTCTATGAGCTTTGCGATACGGTTATTTCTTCCGGTAACATGGTTTATTAAAATTCCCTAACATAAAAAAAGAATAATAAGTAAGGAAAATTTACTCCTCTTGAACTTTTACCCCCTCGTTGATAGATAGTATTATTCCCCTCTTTCCGCCCCACATTTATTGGCACATTAATTATACAACATGGGAAGTGTTGGTGGGCGCTAGTGGCTCACACCTGTAATCCTAGCTACTCAGGAGACTGAAATCTGAGGATAGTGGTTGAAGCCAGCCCAGGCAGGAAAAGTCCATGAGAATGGTTTTTTGTTTGTTTTTTTTTTTTGGGTCCGGTCGTGGGGCCTGAACTCTGGGCCTGGGCGCTGTCCCTCAGCTCTTCAGCTCAAGGCTAGCGCTCTACCACTTGAGCCACAGCGCCACTTCCAGCTTTTTTCTTTTTGCTTATGTGGTGCTGAGGAATCGAACCCAGGGCCTTAGGCATGCAAGGCAAGCGCTCTACCACTGAGCCAACTTCCCAGCCCTCCATGAGAATTTTATCTACAATGAACTCCCAGAAAACCAGAAGTGGTATTGTGGCTCAGAGTGGTAGAGTTCTAACCTTGAGCAAAGATCTCAGGAACAGAACCCAGGTCCCAAGTTCAAGCCTCACAACCAACAAAACAAAAATACCCAAATCTATCAATTCTTCGTCATCAGCTTTTAATCTCAACTATTACTTTTCCTCATGAGGTCTGATTCTTAAACTTTGAACAGTCGTTATTACTTGAAACTCATGAATTATCCTGTTTATCTCTTGAGTGGAATATGACCTTAACACTTGAAAATGCTCACAATCTGATACTTAGCTCATCTGAACTAAGAAATATGGGGTGAGTTTCAAAATAGTAGACTTGAATTCAGTCTTTTTATCTGTCAAGGTTAAGGATGTCTCTGAATTCTTCTTCTTTTTTTTTGTGTTAGTCTTGGGACTTGAACTTAGGGCCTGAGCATTGTCCTTGAGCTTGTTTGCTTAAGGCTAACACCCTACCACTTCAGTAACAGCTCTACTTCTGCCTTGTGGTATTAAGGTGACAGATCTCCTGTGTCTTATATTAATAAGAGTCTGACAGACTTGCCTTGTTGGGCTTGCTTTGAGCTACGATCCTCAGATCTCAGCCTCCTGAGTAGCTGTGATTACTGGTGTGAGCCACTGGTGTTCCACTCTAACTTCTTTTTTTTATTACACATCACTTAAAGAGTTTATTGGCCAGAGATGTGGCTCAAGCAGTTGTATACCCTGCCAAGGGATCAGGAAGCCCTGACTTAAATCCCAAGCATAGCCAAAAAGGAAAATAAAATGTTTTTCATCTATTAAGTATTAATGATTGTGTTTTCATTCCTCTTTCCCTTCTTCTGTTTCGCCTTGTCTATGCAGGACAGGATAGCCTTGAATTAACAGCCTTTGCCTTCCAAATGCTTTATTGCAAATGGTTAATCTATGGGATCGGCAGACGTGAAAACGAGATTTGGTGCATATTTGATTATGTGGATTATATCATCTCCAGGATATTTAACCAATTTTTTATGAAATTTTGTCCAACAGGAAGAAGAATAAATCTCATCGGGATATTAAGCGAATGCAGTGTGAGTGTGCACCTCTTTCCAAAGAGGAAAGAGCTCAAGGTGAAATAGCTTGTGGGGAGGATTGTCTCAATCGCCTCCTCATGATTGAGTGGTAAGTAGGTTAAAGCACTCTGCTTTTACTCAGCTCTTTTTGTAAGTCATTGTATATTCTAAAAATAAGTCAAATATCATGGTTTTTATTCTACCTATGAACGACTATATTAAAAAGATAGCTCACTGGGTGCTGATGGCTCTTGTCTGTTAGTCCTAGCTACGCAGGAGCCTGAGATATGAGGATTGCCATTTGAAGCCAATCTAGGCAGGAAAATCCATGACTCTTCAAAAACTACCTAGAAAAGGCCGGAAGTAGTACTATGGCTCAAGTGGTAGAGTGCTAGCCTTGAGCAAAAGAAGCTCAGGGACAGCACTCAGGCCCTGCGTTCAAGCCCAGGACAGGCAGAAAAAAAAAATCCTACTCTTAATTTACTCTCATCAAAGCTTTTCTCTACTTAGCACCTTCTAAAGTAAATCCACCAACTTTTGAGCATAGGTAGAAATATTTTCCATACATAATAATTATGTATTAATAATGGTGATTTATACTTTAATCTTAGTCGTTATGCAAAGCCATTGTATCTGCCAGTTTTGGAATATCAAGATTTCATTGAGGGATGGATCAGTTAGAGAAGAACCTTGCCATATTATATTGCATTTGCTCTGAACAAGACTTGTAATGACTTGGGTTTGTGTGAAATACCTATCAAATAGATGACTGCATTCAGAAAAACAAATTACTGATGATTTGAGTGGAATATGATTCAAGTGTCCATAAATAAGTTAGTTCTGCATACTTGACAAGATTCTACAACTATATGATATACAGCCTGGCAGGGCTGTAGATGAAGCTACAGGCAGTATTGCAGACATCCTCCCTCAGGTAATATGGTAAAAATGTAGCTAGTTCTAAGGAATCCTGTAGTGCCGGAAGGAATTTTTGACGAAGTCTGTACATGAGCACTGCTAGCCCTAAAGACGTGGCTACATTTTGCTGCTTTTGCTGTTTATAAAGAATAAACTTTTACCAACTTCTCGTTTCAGTTCTTCCCGATGCCCAAATGGGGATTTTTGTTCCAACAGACGGTTTCAGAGAAAACAGCATGCAGATGTAGAAGTCATACTTACTGAAAAGAAAGGCTGGGGCTTAAGAGCTGCCAAAGACCTGCCTTCGTAAGTTCTGTTGTAATCACCTTTCATTTTTGTTGAACAAGGTTGGATGTTTTGCAGGAAAATACTGCACTGAGCTTATTTATGATTATTGTGCAGCTCACGCCTGTAATCCTAGCTACTCAGGAGGCTGAGATCTGAGGACCAAGGTTCAAAGCCAGCCCAGGCAGGAAAGTCCCTGAGACTCTCATCTCCAATAAACCACTAGAAAACTGGAAGTGGCTCTGTGGCTCAAGTGGTAGAGTGCTCGTCTTGAGCTGAAGAGCGCAAAGACAGCACCCAGGCCCAGAGTTCAAGCCCCACAACCGACCAAAAAAAAAAAAAATTGAGTTTTAGAGAACCAAGTAAAAAAACTTCTCTGTCTATATACAGGAAGAGAATTTCATTACTCGTGACAGATGTGCATGTCCTTTCTTCCTCAGATAGTTGTGTTCCCTTTGATTTTAAGTCATCACGAGTTTTTGCTACAGCTCCTCAGCATCTATGCAGTGCTAGAAAAAGGAATTAAAGAACAGGTGTAGGGAGCGGACCTGTAATCCCAGTTGTTAGGCAACAGGAGGCAGGAGGATCTTGAATCTTGTGTACTATCATGTCAGAGTCTTTCTTCTGATACGTGGGGATCTCGTGAACTCTTTGCCCTCCTGGTCTAGAGCCATGATCCTCCTCAGCCTCTTGGGTGCCACCTTCTGCGGCTGTTTGTTTGAGATGAGACTTTTGAGTTATTTTACCCATGTTGTCCTCAAAGCCCAGTCCTCTTGATCTCCACCTGCTGAAGTAGCTAGGGTTACATGGTGCGAACCACTGGTGCCTGCCCTAAATTTCTTAGGTATAGCATGTTTCATCATTTTGAAAGATCCTTAATAAAAGAGGATTTTTTTTTTCACTTGGCCATGTTAACCATGTTGTCTTCTTTTAATAATTGATTTTGTCAACATGTTACTAAGAAATACCTAATGTACATTAAAAAAATCCCTTTGGTAACAGTATGCTTATTTTGTGGGTGAAAACTTCCAGGCAGGCTATTTCAGGTCAGAACTTGGGACTAAAGCATAATGAAGCCTTTGTTTACATAGAGCCAGCCAATAGCTGAAGTCACTGGTGAGAATGAGCTTCCTTTGTTTTGCAGGAATACCTTTGTCTTGGAATACTGTGGAGAAGTACTTGATCATAAAGAGTTTAAAGCTCGAGTGAAGGAATATGCACGAAACAAAAATATTCACTACTATTTCATGGCTCTGAAGAATGATGAGGTGAGCGGCATTAGCTGTGTTTTGCTTTGAAACCGATTTGAAAATACGGGGGTTTGGAGGGGTTTTGTGTCATTTGAGAGGACATAAGAGCCAGAGAAGTATAGTTTTACACAGCCTCCATTTGTTACTAGGAAAGGATGGGAAGCTCCTCGTTGGTGCCTCGCACCTGTATCCTAGCTACTCAGGAGGCTGAGATCTAACAAAAGGTGGTGATTTGAAGTCAGCCTGGGCAGGAAAGTCTGTGAAACTCTAATCTGCACTAAACCAAGGAAGCTGGAAGTGGAGTTTTTGGCTCAAGCTGTAGAGCATTAGCTCTTAAGCAAAGAAAGCTGTGGGACAGAGTCCAGGCCCTGAGTTCAAGCCCCAGGATTGGCCCAAAAGGAAGATGGGAGGGGGAAGTAATTAGGTTTATATGTCAACGTCAGCACACATGCTTTATGTCACAAGTCTTTAACATTACTATGACCTCCAAAATACATTTCTAGGTTATATCTGGCAGTTCATAAAATAAGAAAAATAGAAACAACTTTAGAAGTGTTTTGATACAAACAGTAAGTGTTAGGATTTTTTTTTTTATTGTCAGTCATGGGGCTTGAACTCTGGGCCTGGGCTCTGTTTCTTGAGCTTTTCAGCTCAAGGCGAGTACTCTACCACTTGAGCTACAGCACCACCTCTGGTTTTCTGGTGGTTCATTGGAGGTCAGAGTCTCATAGCCTTCCTGCCTGGGCTGGTTTTGAACTGTGATCCTCAGATCTCAGCCTCCTGAGTAGCTAGTATTACAGTTGTGAGCCACCAGCACCCAGCTGGAAACAAATTTTTTCAAAAGAATATTTTTAGGGTGAAAGTAACATGCTAATGACATACATTTTTGTAAATCCTTTTCTGTGTGGCTTAGTAGGGGTGATCTAGCTTCCCCTCTTTGCCTCTACATTCAAGGTGGGGATTGTAATTCTACGGCTGTACCTTCTCCACTTGGGGAATAACTCAGCAAGTTTTCAAATTCCTTAAGGAATTTGGATGTGCACGTAGAGTTTTAGAGCTACTGCATTGTGGCAGGGACCGTACTTCAAAATGAAGTCTTACATATATAAAATAATACTGGAAGGCAGTAGGAGATAAGCCCCAGCGAAAAGTAAATGAGAAACACATTGACAAATACAGATACTATTTTGCCATAATTTTTTGGTAGTGGTGGGCTGACTGGAGTTACACTCAGGATCAAGACTTGCGATGCAGATACGCCACCTCTTGAGCCACAGGTTCCCTTCCCCCCCCCTTTTTTTTTTTAATTTAAATTTTACCTTTAGTTTTCCGATCAAGTCTTGTTTTTTGGTTTTTGGTTTTTTGTTTTTTTTTGCTGGGCCGGATTCTAAACATGATCTTACCTATGTAGCTTCCCACGGGCATGGATCACCATGCCCAGTTGGTTGGTTGAAGTGGGAGCTTATTAATAACTTTCTGTCCCAGCTGCTTCCTGCGTAGCTAGAATTATGAGTGTGACCTACTGTGTGTGGCACTCCAAAACATTTACAGTTAACAGATTTTCCAGAAGAAAAAAAAAAAGCAGGTCTATATTTGTCACTTGGATGTGTAAAGTAGTATGAGAAGAGTTGTATAAATCAAGCTGGGGGCAAAGAAGTTTATCTTAACTTTGCCTTAATGTTTTTTTACCTTTGTAAAATGTATGACTCTTTTAAAGATCTCGTTTCAGAACTCTTCTTCTTTCTCCAGATAATAGATGCTACTCAGAAAGGAAATTGCTCTCGTTTCATGAATCACAGCTGTGAACCAAACTGTGAAACCCAAAAAGTAAGTTATGTGGATTTAACGTGTGAGCTTAGGCAGTACATAAAAGGTACTCATGAATTTTATTTTTGTTATATTTTCCTGTGTTCATTTTGAAATAAGTTTAGAGTTCTAAAGTATAGTAAATTCTCCCATATTCCATCCTTTACCTACTTTTTCAATGTTAACATCATTTGGAATCATAATAAAATGATTATACCTGAGGAATACTATTGATTGACCAAAAGATCTTTCTTAAATTTTGACAGCTGTAATTTTTCTGGTTCAGCCCTGGGTCACATTACAATGGGTTGTTCCCTTGCCTATAGTTATTTTAGATAACGATGTAAAAGATGCCAAAATATGTCTAGATTTTCATTATTGTGAAGTCCATTGGGTACTGATATATTCAGGGTATTTTTTTAATCAAGTCTTGCACAGGTGTGAAATTGGACTGTTGTAATAAAACTCATGAAGGACTAAATAGCCCAAGTTGAGAGGGAGTAGAAATTCCTCATTAAGAAAGCTGTGGGCCTTCTTCCTAGATAAATATGTCCATTAGGCTATGGACCCATAGATAAGTATCATTAGAGCTGAGTGTCAGGGGCTCATGCCTGTAACAGTAGCTATCCAGGAGGTTGAGATCTGAAGATTGAGGTTCAAAGCACCAAGTCTGGGCTGGGAAGGTGGCTCAGTGGTAGAGCGCTTGCCTTGCATGCCTGAGGCCATTGGTTCGATTCCTCAGCACCACATAAGCAAAAAGAAAAAAGCCGGGAATGGCGCTGTGGCTCAAGTGGTAGAGTGCTAGCCTTGAGCTGAAGAGCTGAGGGACAGCGCCCAGGCCCAGAGTTCAAGCCCCACAACCGGACCAAAAAAAAAAAAAGCACCAAGTCCAAAGTCCCCACCAGACTCTTATCTCTAATTAAAGCTAAAAAAAAACAGACATGGTGCTGTGGCTCAAGTGGTAGAGTGCTAGCTTTGAGTACCAAGAGATTTAGGGATAGCACCCAGGCCCTGAGTTCAAGCCCTATACTGGCAATAAAAAGAAAGAAAAGAAAATCGCTTTCATGAGTACATCAGTGTTTCACAAACTCCATGACCAATCTTAGAAGGTTTTGTTTTTGTTTTTTGTTTTGTAAATACTGAGGCTTGAACTTAGGGCCATGGGCACCCTGCTCCTGAGCTTCTTTTACTCAAGGCTAGCACTCTACCACTTGAGCCACAGAGCTATTTCCAGCTTTTTCTGTATATGTGGTACTGAGGAATGGAACCCAGGGCTTCATGCATGCTAGGTGAGCACTCTACCACTGTAGTCACCTTCCCAACCCAAGGGTGTTTTTTGTTTTGTTGTTGCTGTTGTTTTGTGCGGGTCCTGGGGCTTGAATTCAGGGTCTGCATGCTGTCCCTGAGCCTCTTTGTGGTCAAAGCTATCACTCTTTCACTTGAACCACAGCTCCACTTCCAGAACTTTTTTTTTTCTTTTTTCTTTTTGTCGGTCATGGGGCTTGAACTCTGGGCCTGGGCGCTCTCCCTCAGCTCTTCAGCTCAAGGCTAGTGCTCTACCACTTGAGCTACAGCGCCACTTCACTTCCAGAACTTTTGTTTGTTTTTTTTTTGTTGTTGTTGTTGTTTTTGGTAGTAGGACCTGAACTCCGGCCCTGGGCACTGTCCCTCAGCTCTTCAGCTCAAGGCTAGCACTCTACCACTTGAGCCACAGCACCACATTGGCTTTTTCCTGCTTATGTGGTACTGAGGAATCGAACCCAGGGCCTCATGCATGCAAGGCAAGCACTCTACCACTGAGCCACCTTCCTAGCCCAACTTCCAGAACTTTTAACATAAACTTTTCACTAACCTTATGATATTCCATGACACCAAGCATCCCCTCCCCACTTTGCTTTTTTTTTTTTTTTTTTTTTTTTATAGAAGAAGTACATATATATATAGAGAGAGAGAGCACATTGTGTATTTAAGATGTGTTAATTGTAGCTGTGTTAATGTAGTAGGCTACTTCTCTGCCATTGAGCTCCGCACCTATCTCAGTAGCAATCAATTTTATTAATCAGAGATAAACTATACATATATCTAATCTGGTGGTTCATTAATTAACCATAACACTTAAATGTTTTAACAACAAAATTCTTATTTGCTATTGGGAAAGCCTTTATAGCCTAAGGAGCTATATGGGTATATTTTTATTTATTTATTTGTCAGTCATGGGGCTTGAACTCTGGGCCTGGGCGCTGTCTCTGAGCTCTTCAGCTCAAGGCAAGTGCTCTACCACTTGAGCCACAACACCACTTCCAGTTTTCTGGTGGTTTATTGGAGATAACAGTCTCATGGACTTTCCTGTCAGGGCTGGCTTTGAACCTCCATCCTCAGATCTCAGCCTCCTGAGTAGCTAGGATTACAGGTGTGAGCCACCGGTGCCTGGCCCGTGTATATTTTAGATTATTACTATCATCTTTGGTGGCACTGTGTGGTTTCCGTTCCAAAATATGATGATGGTGGTTTGTGTGTTTGTGTGCACTTATTTCTTCTCTTTTTTTAAAACGTTTCAGTGGACTGTGAATGGACAACTAAGGGTTGGGTTTTTTACAACCAAACTGGTTCCATCAGGCTCAGAATTAACGTTTGACTATCAGTTTCAAAGATACGGGTGAGTGTGGCTTTTTTCTTCTAACAATTCTGGAAATAGGCTATTTGGTTGTATGTGTGAATTTATATTTTTGTTCCCAGACCAAGTATGTATACTACCTATAATGTTACTGTATTTCATAAAAAAGGAGAATTGTTCCTTATTGGCTAGTTTAGTTTAGTAAAATAAGATGGGAGAACGAATGAATATTAAGCTAGGTGCCAGTGGCTTATGCCTACAGTCAATCCTAGCTACTCAGGAGGCTGAGGCAGGAAAGTTCATGACATTCTTTGTCTCCAGTTAACCAGCAGAAAACTGGAAGTGGAGCTGTGGCTCAAAGTAGTAAAACACTAGCCTTGGGTACAAAAGTTCAGGGACTGCCCAATCCCTGAGTCCAAGCCCCACGACTGACCAAAAAAATAAGAGAAATGCAATGTCAATCCCTTTTTTTAGTGCGATGCTTTTTGAGTAATTGTTATATTCTTGACTTTTTTGTCAATCGTGGCCCTTGAACTCGACCTGGGTGCTGTCCTTGAGCTCTTCAGCTTAAGGCTAGTGCTCTACCACTTGAGCCACAGCGCCACTTCTGGTTTTCTGGTGATTAAGTGGAGGTAAGAGTCTCAGACGTTCCTGCCCAGGCTGGCTTTGAACCGCAATCCTCAGATCTCAGCCACTTAAGTAGCTAGGATTACAGGCATGAGCCACTGGTGCCCGGCCTATTCTTGACATTTTTTTATGGTTCACTTTTACATAGTTGATTTCTTTCCTATGCTCGTTAAACAGAAAAGAAGCTCAGAAATGTTTCTGCGGATCAGCAAATTGCCGGGGTTACCTGGGAGGAGAAAACAGAGTTAGCATCCGAGCAGCAGGAGGGAAAATGAAAAAAGAGCGATCTCGAAAGAAGGATTCAGTAAGTAATCCATTTGTTTTTCAGCTTTTCACACTACAAATTTTGAGAAGGGAGATAGATTTTTCTAATTGAAGTGTATTAGAAAAAATTCAATTCAGCTATTCTAGGACCAGATGAAGAAATTCTGAAACAAAAATACGATTATTTCATTTCAGATTCATAGAGATTAGAATTGGGTACTAAGAACTACTGAAGTGGTTTGTTGTTGTTGTTTTAATTGAAGTTTATTTCTTCCCATGCACATATGTATTTTTGCCTACTTTAATGGAAATTAAATCATACTGGACAAAGCCTTTTGTCTTTGGTTTTATAGATTACTTTTTTTTTTTTTTATAAATTTTACATTTTAGCTTTACATTTACCTAAGTTAATGTATATCCACAATTTATTTTCACGGTCATTCCGTTTGCTATGTGATTGAGTATATAGCAAATCCATTCTAATGTTAGTAGATATTGGCGTTTTTTTTCTCATTTTTCCCCCCACATTTTGGAAAGTCCATGAGATTTTTTTTTTTTTTTTTTTGGTTGGTCGTGGGGCTTGAACTCTGGGCCTGGGCGCTGTCCCTGTGCTCTTCAGCTCAGGGCAAGCGCTCTAGGCTTGAGCCACAGCGCCACTTCCTCCCCCGCACTTTGGAAGCAATGATGTTGTGACTCCTGGATGTATGTTACAGATATTTTCTCTCTGGTTACATAACCGGAAGTGCAAATGCTGGCTCATGCCATGTATATACATTCACCATTAGTAAATAATACCAAAGTGTTTCTAAAGTGCCTGTGTCCATGAACATCACCATCAGTGGTATATGAGAGCTACTGTTATTCTTATGCATCGTACTACTTAAATTTATTAATCTACAAAGTACATGACATTTAATAGAATTTTTTTTTTCTGATCCTGGAACTTGAACTCAGGGCCTGGGTTGCTGTCCCTGAGCCGCTTTTGCTTAAGGCTAGTGCTCTACCACTTGAGCCACAGCTCTACTTTTGGGTTTTTGGTAGTTTATTGGAGAGAAGAGTCTCATGGAGTTTACTGCCTGCACTGGCTTTCATTCACAATAACCACATCTCAGCTTCTGAGCATCTAGGATTACAAGTGTGAGCCGCAAGTACCTGGCAAATATGTCTATTTAATAGTAATTTTAATTCGTACGCTTTATTACTAATGAAGTTGACTGCTTTCCAAATTTATTGACTATTTGGATTAGTCAGCTGTTTCTGAAAAAGTGTCTGTTTTTTTTCTTAGTATTTTTTTTAATTGATTGGGTGCGTGCGTGCCTGCGTGTGTGTGTCTGTGTCTCTGTATCTGAATAGTAGTGATGGTTTTTGGTGTTGAAAGCATGTATTCTCCTTCATGAACCTTTTTACCCTTTGCTGTACTTGAGCTTTGAAAATGATGAAAGCTCTATTAGTTTGGATTTCTGTGTTGGTGTGAATGTTTTTAATAAAGTCTGGGCACTGGTGGCTCATGCCTGTGATCCCAACTCTTCAGGGGGCAGGAATCTGGAGGACTGAGGTTTGAGGTCAATAGTAAAGTCACAGCTTGGCTTCTAGTACAGCTTCAGTGACAGTGGGAGGTCCTAGCAAATTATGAGGAACTGAGTTTAAACCCTAGTACTACCTTCCAAAAGAATTCCATTCAACAATTATTTTTCTTTTGTATTTTGTTTGTACAATTTTATTTTGCAATTTGGGCATTCTTGCTGTTTTCTGTAAAATGACAATTTCCTATAAACCGCTATTTTATTTCCCAGTAATAATATCTATTTTCAGAAGGTACTGATTGAATGAAAACAATATAATAATTCAGTTTTGTCTCATTTTTCAAAAACTGTAAAGAAAAATTACCTTTTTATTTTATTTTTTTGCCAGTCCTAGGGCTTGAACTTGAGCCTCTTTGTGCTCAAGGCTAGCACTCTACCACTTGAGCCATAGCGCCACTTCCGGCTTTTTCTGTTTTCATGGTACTAAGTAATGGAACCCAGGGCTTCATGCATGTTAGGCAAGCACTCTGCCACTAAGCCACATTCCCAGTCAAAGAATTACCTTTTTAACCCACTGAATATTTGCAAGATTCTAGATGTTACACTTTAGGAGAAAAGTAGAATTTTAAAGTTTTTTTTTTTCTACTCTATTTAAAATTGAAAGTACAGAAGTTTTCAATTTAGGATATGCAATAAAAAACCTAAATTGGTCTTTTTGTCTATGTATTTATTCATAAACTTACGATATTGGGAGTGTTTAATGAACTTTAGTCAGGTGCTGGTGGCTCATGCCTGTCATTCTAGCTACTCAGGAGGCTGAGATCTGAGGATCATGCTTCAAAGCCAGCCCAAGCATGAAAGTCCATGAGACTCTTATCTCCACTTAACCACAGAACTGGAAGTGGAGCTACGACTCAAAAGTTGTAGAGCATTAGCCTTAAGCAAAAGAGCTCAGGGACAGTGCCCAGGCCCTGAGGTCAAGCCCTACAACTGACAGGAAAGGAAAAAAAAAAGGAGCCGTATATACATTGCAATTTTTTTCCCTCCCTAGAATAATGGCATAGGTTCTTACTGTGTACTCATCTTTCCAGTTACTTGTGAAGCTGAGCAACTTTTCAGGTTGTTTCATTTTAAAATTAGTAGGTTTGTCTTGTCTGTTTTAAATAACCAGAAATGTTTTTCTTTGCTGTGGTAGGTAGATGGAGAGCTAGAAGCGCTGATGGAAAATGGAGAGGGTCTGTCTGATAAAAACCAGGTGCTCAGTTTATCCCGGCTCATGGTGAGAATTGAAACTTTGGAGCAGAAACTTACCTGTCTTGAGCTCATTCAGGTAAACACCAATACTGATGTGTTTTATTTTTTAATTTGGGCTGAGACAGTCTAAGTGATGAGTTAATCTTTTGTTTGTTTGTTTGTTTTTTAATGTAAAGATGAGTTCTATAGGACTTTGAAAGTTTGTTCTTCTAAAAATATAACTGAAGAGTTCATTATTAGTAGTAAACTTGATTTGCTTTCTCTACTTAAAAGAATATAGTAAACTGTTTTCTTTTTTTGGGGGGGGGGGGGGGTCTGGTCGTGGGGCCTGAACTCTGGGCCTGGGCGCTGTCCTTCAGCTCTTCAGCTCAAGGCTAGCACCACTTCTGGCTTTTTTTCTGCTTATGTGGTGCTGAGGAATCGAACCCAGGCCTCATGCATGCAAGGCAAGCGCTCTACCACTAAGCCACCTTCCCAGCCCAGGAAAAACCTTTTGAATAAGCATCTGAGTAACAGAACATAAAATGACTAAAAGACTAGTTTTTTTTTGGTTCTAACCTTTTCAGTAAAATGACTGGTACAAGTTTTTACTTAATCATTCAGTATTGAAATTCACTGTAAATGATCTTGGTTGTTTTTTTTGTTGTTGTTGTTTTGTTTTTTAATGATCTGCTTTGTTAAGGTCCAGGTTTACTGTAAGAAAACTATCAAAAAAATTGTAGGGAGGGAGGGACTGGGAAATAGTGAGGGAACAGAAGACACTGTATGAAAGAAAACGTACTCATAACCTGACTCATGTAATTGTAATCCATGTCATATCAGCTTTATCATATTAACTTAATTTTTAAAAAAAGAAAAGATATATTCTATTACTTTATGACACTTTAGCTGTGTGATTCTAATTAGATTAATAAAGTTTTCTGGGTGATTTGGATTTTTTTTTGGTGGGGAGGGGTGTATATATATGACTATAAATGGACCCTTTGGTCCTTATAAGCCTTCTTAACATTCTGTCTCGTGTTGTCTCCCCAATACTCTGTATCTTACCTCTCTTTCCCCATGAAAGAACACGCACTCACAGTCCTGCCTGAAGTCCTTTTTGGAACGTCATGGGCTGTCTTTGTTGTGGATCTGGATGGCAGAGCTTGGAGATGGCCGGGAAAGTAACCAGAAGCTTCAGGAAGAGGTCAGTTCACAGTCCTCACACTCCTTACAATTACTATATTGATTGCTTAGGCAGTGGTATGAAGTAATCAAGTTATTATTCTGTCATTATCCCATACATATATACCTTGCTAGCGGTGAATTTTGCCCTTTTTTTATTTTCTCCCCTATCTTCTTTTTTTGTGTGTGTGCCACTCCTGGGGCTTGAACTCAGCACCTGGACACTGTCCCTGAGCTACTTTTGCTCAAGGCTAGCACTCTACCATTTGAGCCACAGTGCCACTTCTGGCTTTTTCAGGGCTTCATGCATGCTAGGCAAGCACTCTACCACTGAGCCTTCCCAGCCTACCCCCATCTTCTTATCCTGGGGAACTAAAGAGAAAATATCATAGTTCAGTAAGTGATTCGGTTTGTTGTTAAGACCATAGTTTTAAAGTGGGAAAACAGAAGACTTGATTTGTACATGAAGATTGATCGCCAGCATTGTTGTAGTGCTTATACCATCCCATGAAATTATATATATAATTTTTTTTTGGGGTGGGGGCAGTTGTGGGGCTTGAACTCAGGGCCTGGGCGCTGTCTCTGTGCCTGTGTGCTTAAGGCTAGTCTCTACCACTTGAGCCACAGTGCCACTCCAGGCTTTTTTCTGTTTCTGTGGTTCTGAGGAAATAATGAGTTCTACCCAGAGGTTTGAATGGTCAAACTATACAAAGTAATGTATTGTTTTTGTTTTGTTTTTTTAATTGTCTTTAATTAGATTATAAAGACTTTGGAACATTTGCCCATTCCTACTAAAAATATGTTGGAGGAAAGCAAAGTCCTTCCGATCATTCAACGCTGGTCTCAGACGAAGACGACTGTCCCTCAGTTGAGTGAAGGAGATGGATATTCCAGTGAGAACACATCCCGCGCTCACACACCGCTCAACACGCCCGATCCTTCCTCCAAGCTGACCGCAGAGGTGGACACAGATACTCCCAAGAAACTCATGTTCCGCAGACTTAAAATTATAAGTGAAAATAGCATGGACAGTGCCATCTCTGATGCAACCAGTGAGCTAGAAGGCAAGGATAGCAAAGAGGACCTCGATCAGTTAGAGACCGTCACTGTAGAGGAAGAAGAGGAGCCGCAGCCACAGCTCCTCCCACAGCAGCTGCCCGAGCCCAAAGTTGAGAGTGAAACTCCCACAGAGGCCAGTAAGCCGCTCACAGAGCCAGAGGCGGACGTTGAGATGGAGGCCAAAGACAGCAATGGCACCAAACTGGAAGAAAACATTGCTGAGGAGACTCCATCTCAAGATGAGGAGGAGGGTGTGTCCGATGTGGAAAGTGAGAGGAGTCACGAACAGCCAGATAAGACTGTGGATATAAGTGATCTGGCCACCAAGCTACTAGACAGTTGGAAAGACTTGAAGGTAAGAGAACATTTGTTGTTGTTGTTTGTTTACTTTAACCTGAATCGTTGTTTAGAGTTCCTTAAGCTACTTCTCTAGCCATGAGTATTTCTGACAAGTGGAATACCATCTCTTAAGAGTCAGCTAATGAGAAATGTGTCTTAGTTATTGTTTACATCCTGGCAAGAGTCATTCTAAACCACTATACAGTGCACCCCCCCCCCCCCCCCCCCCCCCGGCTTTATTGAGAAAAGCATGTTTACTCAGGTGACTAGGCATTCAGAAAAAATCCTTGGAGGAGCAAATTTATGTTTCTATTTGTAATGAGGGGGAAAAAATTGTTTAAAAAATAGAAGCCGGGAGCCAGTGCCTCACTCATGTAATCCTAGCTACTCAGGAGGCTGAGATCTGAGGATCGATGTTTCAAAGCCAGCCCCGGCAGGAAAGTCCATGAGACTCTGATCTCCAATAAAAACCACTAGAAAACCGGAAGTGGCGCTGTGGCTCAAGCGGTAGTGCTCGCCTTGAGCTGAAGAGCGCAGGGACAGCACCCAAGCCCGGAGTTCGAGCCCCACGACCGACCAAAAAAAAAAAAAAACAGAAGTGGGGAGCCAGTGGCTCACGCCTGTAACTCTAGCTACTCAAGAGGCTGAGGTCTGAGGATTGAGGTTCAAAGCCAGCCCAGGCAGGAAAGTCCATGAAACTCATATCGCCAATGAACCACCAGAAAACTGGAAGTGGTGCTGTGGCTCGAGTGGTAGAGTGCTTGCCTTGAACTGAAGAGCTGAGGGACAGTGCCCAGGCCCAGAGTTCAAGACCCATGACCGACAAAAAAAAAAAAAAAGAAAGAAATTTTATTGGATCACTAGAAGATTAAAACGATGAGTTGGGAATCCAAGTCCAAGACAAATCAGAAATGATAGAATTAGGCTGGAAGTGTGGCTCAGCCGTAGAATGTCTTACCTAGAAAGCATGAAGCCTTGAGTTCAAATCTCATTACTGTCAAAAAAAACCATGAATTTTTGTTGTAGAAAAACGATTTTACAGAACTAGTTGGTGTTCAGTTCCTTTATTGCTTTCTGAAATAGGCCTGCTTTTAAATTCCTATTTCTTTGGACAAGAGTTCAAGGGAAAAACAGAAAGGTCTTGGAAATCTTATGACTACCACATACTTTCTTTTATAAGAATACCCTTTACATAAAGAATGTAGTAAGCTTATATAGTTTGCCTTGTAGAAAACCTAGTCTGGATCTGGGGAAAATAAACTAAGATGAACCTATAAGAGGCATAGTGCCTTGCAGTTTGTAAGTGATAGAGACCTGGGATTCAGGTCTATTTCCTACCTTTGGGTTATTTTTTGTTCTCCTTTCTTCTGCCAGAGGTAAAACAAACTAGCAATTCCGATTTCTTTTCAGCAAGATAAAAACTACAAAACAGCCGGGCGCCAGTGGCTCACGCCTGTAATCCTAGCTACTCAGGAGGCTGAGATCTGAGGATCACGGTTCAAAGCCAGCCCCGACAGGAAAAGTCCGTGAGACTCTTTTCTCCAATAAACCACTAGAAAACTGGAAGTGGTGCTGTGGCTCAAGCGGTAGCTGAATAGCTGAGGGACAGTGCCCAAACCTACAGTTCAAGCCCCAGGACCAAAAAAAAAAAAACAAAAACCTACAAAACTCACCCCCCATTATTAGATCCTGTGATTTGACCCAGTGGAACTGGCCTTGAGCAAAACGAGTAGTTGTTTGGTTGTATACTGTGCTTCCTATTTGCTGCCTTGAGACCCTTTAAGTATGGCGTGGTTTCAGCTTTCACTTACTGACTTGTGCTCTTACTAATTTTACTCTTTCATCACTTAAAATCAGCATAAAAAATCAGCTGTATTATGAATCGCAAGATCTGACTCATAAGTATAAAAGGAAGTGTTCACAGGAACTATTTTATCCTACAATGTGTGCACTGCAGGAGTCAGAATGGTAGTTAATTGAAAGATACTGGGACAGTCACTGGATTGACCTTTTTAAAAAAATAAAATAAAATAGCTTGCTGTGGGATAGCACAGTTGTCCCTAAAAGATTTTGTGTTTGGCGGTTACTGGTGGGAGCCTATACTCAGGCCCGTAGCTCAGTAATAAAAGTAGAAATGGAAACAATATCCAAGTGGACATAAAAAGCCTTTACAACCATACTTTTATAGGAGAGAAAGTGTTGTAGATTGAATAGTTTACCTGTGAAGTCTGCTTGACATAAATTGCTAAGATGCCATGAATTTTCTTAGAGTTTGTAAAACGGCAAATATTCTTATTTGTCTATGTAAGTTTGTTTCTGTAAATGTAATGGTATAAATTACTCTCTAGGGCATATTTAGTGTGATAAGCTGTAACTGGAGTAATTTAAACACATGCTCTGGACATAGTTGGGTTTTTTTTAAGTCTACAAAATTATTTCTTTCCCTTCTTTTCTTCCCCACTCCTATCTAAAAGGTCAAAGCAATTTCATAACAATGTGTAGGTTGATAATCCTCTTGACTTGAGGTTTAAGTTTTACTTGTACTTTAAATATATCCTTCTTGGATTTCACACTTTGGATTTATCTTGAATCTTATCATCAAGGGAGCCATTAAGTAAAATCCTGGAATCTGTAGTTTGCTCTGGAATTATTAATAAGAAATATCTTTATTTGACTTTGAGCTGTGATATTTTGTTACACATTAGTTCTGGCGTTAATTCTTCTATTATTCTAATTAACATGATTATTTTTCCCCTAAACTCTGATTATGATTGGTTTTTTTGTGTGTGTGTGTTTTGTTTTTAAAAAGATACTTTAGGTAGGTAGCATTTAACCAGAAATAAGAAATCAGGAACCCATCATTTGAACATGTTAGGGGGGAAAAAAAGCACATCATAAACTTAATGAGATTATCATATAACTCATTCGAACTATCCCGGCATTGAGTTAACTACTTCTGTCTGACTTTCACCTATGTGTTCAAGTAGACATTGGCTGAAAAGAAAACGTTTTATTCATCCAACCTTATTAAAGCACATGTTACCAAGCATTGTGTTATAGTTGCTGATACTTATTTTGAGATCATTACTAAGAAGCACAATCCCGATGATGGCCTTTTTGTCCACTCTTCACTAAGAAGCACAATCCCGATGATGGCCTTTTTGTCCACTCTTAATTCTCCCTGATTTCCTCAGGCCACTCTAATGCTGGCCATGTCTTCCAGTTGGCCTTGCTACACTGGATGGAAGTAAAGAACTGGAAGGGATTGCTTCCTGTTCCTTAACCAATGGTTTTTCTGTGAAAGCAGATTATAGGGATCATCAATAAATGAACAGGGGTGGGAGGGAAGGGAATGCAGCTTCATGAATGACTCTTTGTCCTCCCAGATCTGATGATGATCCCCCTTGTAACTTGAACCATTTCCATCTAGCTTCTCAGGGCAGCAAGGAGCTTGTTAACATCACCAGCTGACCATGTGTCTCCTTTTCTCAACTCCATTTCCAACTTCGTGCTGAAGAAAAACAAGAACCTAGCGTGCATTCTGTGAAGAAGCAGGAAGATGGTTGGGAAGTTGGATGATGCATGAAAAATATAATAGGTGAAAAGAGGACAGAGGTGGTTAACTCACTGGCGCCGGCGTTATTTTGGTGTGTCCATTGCCGACAATGGATGTTGCTCCGGGAAAATCCCTACTTCTGGCAAGAAAGGATTAAGTGAGCTACTTTTTCTATACCTATATACACAGGACCACAGCCTTGATTCACAAGGCACATAAAAACACTTTCATAGACCACCACCAGGAACAACATCACCTAGTACCTGACACATGGCGTTCATTTTTATATGCAAACTGACCAGGCTACATTGTTTTTTTAGCAGGGACATGTGCATATATTTCTGTTTGCAAAAGGAATTGTGTGTACATCATCCCTCGTGCTGAAAAACGGTAGCCTAGGTGTCACAGGGCAATACAAGAGTTACAAGCGAACACCAATCATAGTTTGATTGGAAAATCTTCATTCATTTGGATCATATGGAAAGGAGGTAAGGTTTCCACGGCCTTGGCAGTTTGAATGCTCTTGAACACACCAGGAGGTTACAGTAGGTAGGAACACTAGAGGCTTTCTTAACCAACACGTAAAAATTACAGGATGTATATCTCTCCTCATAATGCGCCCTGGGGAATTCCATTTGTTTCCACCTATTCACTGTTCTTATTCTTTTATTTCACCTTTATCTAGACATTATCTTTTATTTTTTGGCAGCACTAAGGTTTTGAACTTTTGCTTGCCTGGCACGGACTCTCCCATTTGAGCTATGCCCCTAGTCCTTACTCCTGTAGCTCTAGTTTAACTTCAGATCGCTTCTTGAGCCTCAGATTGCCATGCCCCTACCTCCAGATAACTGAGATTACAGGCATATGCCACCCTGCCCAGCCAAAATGAAATTTTTTTCATTTTTCCAGAGAGTACTCATTTTTGGCCTAGCCTATTGTCCAGAACTGTGATGCTCTTGTTTAATAAGTCCTGCTGTTGATGGGCAGGAGTAGAGAAGAATAGGGTGGGAAGAACAAGTTTAAAGTGAGTAGCAGGGACCTCGGGCCTTCGTGCTGGTATGTAGAAAAGCAGCATTTAGAAGTTGCTATTGAATAGTCAGGTCTTCACCAGGAATGTGGCCGGTGAGTCCTGCGCCTAGAGCTTTTTCTTCTTTTTATTTTAGGTTTAAAAATAGGCCATTTTGGGTAGTCTGTGGAGAGGCTTTGCTGTAATCACAGCACTCGAGAGAGGCTGAGACAGCCAGATCACACGTTGTAAGGCCACACTGGACTACATAGTGAGACACTGTCTCAATAATAATAATTCTTGCACATAATACATTTCTTGCCCAATGAAATGTTAACTTTCTACCGCTTCCTCCTGTCCCATTCCTTGGAAGCATTTACTGGTTTTTCAAGTGCTGGGGTTTGAACTCAAGAACATATACTTGTTCAGCTTGCTTCTTTGGCTGGCACACTGC